GTGAAAGGGGGTCAGGGGGCGCGGGGGCAGGAGGGGCTGCTGGGGGGCACTTAAGCAGTCACAGCCCCCTGGTTCCCAGCCCCACCAGTACCGGAGCACTGAACCAGTGCAGGCAATGGCAGCTCAGTGCTGGGGTCCCACAGGCGGCCGCACCCCCAGACCACCTCGATGGGCACCTGATTGCTCAGGGCCGGGCTCTGCAGGATCCCAGCTCAGCCCCAGGACTCCTGATGTGATCTAATAAACGATAACACCCACGGAGGGCATGTGGCCTGGGATGGGGCACAGCTTTCCCGCCGGGAACATGGGGGGTCCCCAGGGATGCTGCCGGTCACACTCTGGTCACCCCACGGTGCTCCGGCAGCAGGGACCCCTCGGGCTGGTGTCGTGCCCCTCACACACACCTGGTGCAGGTGTGGCCTCACCTGGCGCCCAGGGGATGTTCCCATGGGGCAGTGGCTGATCCCACCTGGGAAAGCCCCGAGTGACCCCTCTGTGCACTCAGCCCCTGTGTCTCCCAGCGAGGACTTTGCCCATTAACCCTCCTGCCCTGTGGAGGGATGGAGGAGTGGGGGAGTGCAGGGCAGGGGGGGCCCCACCACCACCCAGGGGTACAAAGTCCACTGCAGCAAATGGGCCGAGATAAAGCTGCAGAAACCAACCTCCCATCAAAGCCAAACAGGGAATGAACGTCCCAGTGCACATCTGAGACCTTAAAGGGACCCTGGGGAGTGACAGCACTGGCTGGACAGCCCCGACAGGACCCCTTTGTGGGGGAGGAGGACACTGGAGATGGTCACTTGCCCCATCTTTTCCTCCTCCTTCTGCCCCTGCCCAGGTGATTTGGCAGAGAGTCCTCGAATGGTTGCAGAGAATCCTCAAATGGTTTGGGTTGGAGGGACCTTAAAGATCATGTTCTACACTGGACACATTCCACTAGCCCAGGTTGCTTCAAGCCCCGTCCAACCTGGCCCTGAACATTTCCAGGGATGGGGCAACCACAGGCTCTATAAAGCACCAATAATCTGTGCACCAGCACCGCCCTGCGCGGCCTCGCCCAGCCTGGCCACGTCCTCTGACAAATTACCATCCCTGTGGATTTAGGCCACAGTCCTGACCCTAATCCCAAAATATACACGAGCCACCTGCACCTCTCAGAGCTCCCAAAGGAGCCCCAAAACAAGCCAGAGCTCCTGAGACATGTGGGTGGCAGAGATCCAGGCTGACCCCCACGGACGGTTGGGTGTCTGTGCTCATCCCCAAAGTCACATCAGCAGGCAGGAAAATCTTACAGCATGTGAGAAATCCACAGAAGCACAACAAAGACGCTCTGCCTCGCGTCAGGCTCTGATAAATTTTGCCCTGGCTCCTGCCCGGGTGGAATTGCTGAGCCGGAGCCGGTCGGAATGGCTTGTAGGAACCTCGTCAGGTGTTCAGGGCTTGTGGAAACTAGGACATCCTGACTTGCCGCTGGCTAACTCCTTTGTGAGAGCCCAGCCAAAGTTTCTCCACCTCTAAATTGGGGTGTAATGACACTTCCCCCTCTTTCATGAAGCTTCAGCTCTTTCTGATGTCGGTAGGAAAATAAATCACCGCGCGGGATCATAAAAGTCATCAAACGGCAACCTGGGGTGAACCGAGCCGCAGAGGGAGGGAAGGGCGCGGGCGCTCGGAAAATGAGAGGTAGGAGCAAACCAGATGTCATCGGGAGCTCTTTCCCCTGTAGGGTTAATGTACCCCCCCCTTCCCCTCCCTGCCTGCCCTGGAATTCCAGCCATTGGCTGGCTCCCGAGGTTTAGGCTAAAAAGCCTGTAATTAGGACCCCGGCTGCCGCGGAGCCAGTGCCTGGGCAGGCAGGGGAAAAAAAAAGAGAGAGGGAAAAAAAAAAAAAAAAAAAAGAGCGTTTCCCTGAGTGAGCTTGGATGTTTTCCTTTCGCTTCGCAAAGTTTTCCCAGCCCGGGCTCCATTCCCTCGCGTCCTCCGGAGCAGGGCGGGACGGCGGCGGCCGGCGCGGGGCTGGAGCGGGCGGCGGAGCCCGCAGCGGCGGAGCGCGGGGCCCGCAGCGCCGGGAAGGGGCAGGTACGTGCCGCTGGAAGGGGTTGCCGGGGTCGGGTCCCCCAGCTACGCGTGGAGCTGGAGCTGCGGGAGAAGGGGATCGGGAGGCGGGGGCGGCGGGAGGGTCCCCGGTCGGGAATCGCTGCGAGGGGAAAAGGACGGGAGCGAGGGGAACGGGGGGATTTTGGCTGTTCTCCGGGAGAAATAATTGGGGCCGGGAGTGATATCGTTGCCCCCGCCGCCTTTGTTTTCGGGAAAACGTCCCCTGAGAGCGGGAGGTGACGCCTGTTCCATCGTGCCAGACCCTGCCAGCCCGGAGCAGGCAGGTGCGCGGGCAGGGGGCGGGCAGGGCTGCCCGGCACGACGAGGGGCTCTGGGAAGGGGCGTTGGCTCCACCATCCCTCCTCTACCCGAGATCCGGCGGGAATGGGATGTTTTGGGGTTGGAGATGGAGCTTGGCCCCTTCACGCATCGATGTGCTGGGCCAT